GCCCACTTCGATCGCCTCCGATTGAGTCGATATCCCTCACTGGGCGTCCCACGTTCAGAGCTCTTTCTCCACTTCTCGCGACATTTCGACGGTTCTCTCCGTGTCGCTGTCGTCTTTGCCTTCAATGTCGTTCCCTTCCACGTCGTTCTCGCTCTCGTAATCATAGCGACTTCCACGCGAACTGCTTATCGTCGTGGCGTTGCTCGCGTTGCTAGGCTTGTAGAAGCTGCCACCGAAGCTGCTGCCACTGATACTCAACGTCTTGGAGCTGCCGCTCTTACCGAACGCGCCCAGGCCGCGACTGCTATTGAAGCTGCTCACTGTACTTCCAGACATATTCGACAGAGTTCGGTCCGGGTTGGTTGACGCATGGGACGACAGCAGACTACGCGAGTCGTAAAAGTCAGAGCTGTCTCCGCTGCTTGAGTTCGTCGACGGTGGGCGACTGTACTCGTCGTCTTCCTCAGGACTGCGTGGCGTAGCATTGCCACTGCCAAGACGACGACGAAGCGCGTTGATGCCGTTCACGGGCGTCCTGGGTGGTTGCGTTGCCGCTGTCTGGCCCCTGCTGTGTCGCTGGTTGTCGTCCACGCCCTGTTCACAGTTGATACAGATGCGGAACGGACATTTACCAGCTTTGCCCAGTTTGATCTGGTGGATCTCCGAGCATTTGGAGCACGCGACGTCGCCACACAGACGGCAGTGATGTTTCCTCCTCGACATGGAGAATTTGCCTTGACACACACAGCAGCTCTTCCTAGACTTGACCCAGTTCTCGGACGTCAAGTAGGGAGACTCACGTAGTCTCATGACCAGTAGCGCCGTGTTCAGCTGCTGGAATGCCGTCAAGTACGACAACATGTTCATTCGTCGCGTCGTCGTCACGCCGTTGGCGTCGTAGCAGCTAAACTTGATAAGCACTTCAAGTACGTTATCGCCCGCGATGGACGAGGCAATCGGGTACACTACAATACCCGAGAATTGGACGAGCGCTCGGGCTGTCATGCCAAAGTTGGCCGGTTCAGGAGATGACGACTTGGCTTTGGCCTGCGAGGACGTCACGATCGGTTTGCAGTATCTCGTGACCGCAGGGTCTTCGATCGAGTGGTGCGAGATGATCCCAACCCGCTGATCCTCAAAGTCCTGTGCCTGGTTGTGAGCCATGGGGCCGCGGATCTGCGCGCGACGGATGGTCGAGTACTCGGCCAGACACATGGTGAGTCCCAACTCCTGCGCGTTCTCGCCGCCCTTGTGTTTCTTGCTAGTGTACAGCCTGGCAGCTTGTCTTTCGCGGTGCCGGTTCTTGCCGCCGAATTTGAGCGAGGTAGATGCTGCGCTTGCGTTCAGCGACGCGCCGGAATCGGCACGAGGAGCGCGCCCCTTGATGGACACGTATTTCACTGCGTACTGCTCTGTCTCCGCTCCGCTTTGCGAGCGCGAACTGGAGCTGATGGACGATGATGTGGATGAGGTGCGACTGGCGCGTCCACTTGGGAGACTGCCGAAGCTCGTGAACACGTCTGCCATTTGTACGCGCTCCTCGAACAGCGCCGCCTGGACATTCTGGTATGTGTCCCGCTTGGGGGACGCCATCAGACGCATAAAGTCGTCCAGAGTGGCGCGTACACGCGTCGTGGCCAGCATGGTGTGCATGTTATATGGGAGCTGCGCCGGATCCGCAGGCATCATGCTGGACACGCGGTCCATCGAGTCTGCGCGTAGCTCGTAGATGTTGAGCGAACCGCGCGCCGTGACGAACTGCCACTTGTCGGCGTCCGCCACAGCATCTACCAACAATGCGGCGGCATTAGCACGTGCGTCCAAAAGTAGCGCGTCCTGTTGCTGGTCATTAAAGTTCAAGTACGCGTCCGGTGTGATACTGTCAGCGGTGCCAGCGGCGCTAAAGTTGAAGCGCCCGCTGCTGCTCGCCCATTGCTGCGTGTCCTGCGCATTGGTGGACGACGCGGTGGACGGCGTTTCGCTTGGGCGCGATGATGCGGACGACGCCTTGTGCTGTCGATGCCGCGGTCGATATAAAGACCCGTAATTAACCATTCCAGCGGACGGTCGGATCCACTGACTGGAGATCCGAACACCTGTAAGTTGCCTTTAGTGGCTGTTGCCGTAGCAGTAGTTGCTTGCTGATACTTTCCGGCCGAAAATGCGGCGAAAAGTGGCGAGGCGAAGGAAGCTTTCTTGGCCCCTGTGTTTGTCGTGCGAAGTCGCTCGCGCCGCACTTGCTCGAGTCGGAAACTGAGCGCCAGCGCGACGGCGGCCAGGGGAGGAACCAGCTGGAGCGTTTGTGCTGCGGACAAGGGACTTCAAGTTTGTATGGCGGGAAAGGCCATCGGGTTGTTGCACACGACCCCTACTGTTTTCGGAAAATTGACCCAATTTCGAAGAAAGGTGCTCATTATGCTTACCAAAAATATCGAGCACAAGCTGTTTCGTTACAATTTTTGAGCCGTTAAAGTTGTCCCCTTCAACTCAGGGCTTGTTTGGGCGTTGTTGCCACCGAGAGACAGAGCCACCAAGATGGTACTGTACAGGCTGGCAGAAGGTTCTTCTCCTACTTGAACGAATCAAGCTAGGTTCCGAGTAGCACGCCAGTTGCATGAGGCTTTAAATCAGCGTGAAAGTAATGTACTTCGGACGGTGTATTGCAAAACAACGTGCTATGTACTTTACTGACGCTCGAGTGGCATGTTGTTTCTACACGTAGAGACACGATATTGTGAGATCCTTGCTATTCTTGCTAAAGTATTTCCTGAAATGGCCTGGATCGTACTTAGATGACATCTAACCTACATGTACCCATGAATAAAAACAAACCGACAAGCCATTGTTATTAAAAGCTTTTGTGAATTAACTTGTAAGACGATGTAGATACAGCTAAGTCAGCGTCAGCGGTGAACGATCAGCTATTGCTGAATTAACTAAAATTTTAAAAGAAAAAATGCATTGTTCCTGTTATTGTAGCAGCTACTGCTTTTGACCAAAGCTGTGCGTTAGGTGTATTTATTAGAGATAGTGGGACACATGCTGTTATTTTCATAAAGATTTATGTAAACAAGCTGTAGCTTTTAGATAAATGTCTTTGTGACACTGCAGCTACTGGTATTTTTGCAATTGTGTGTTTTATTAAAAACAAAACTTGCGCTGGAACCTGAGCATATGTTTTAATACCTCTTTAAAACTGTGCTTCAAATGGAGTTCAAACAGAGAAGTTTGGTGCTCAAAGTTGCCAGTGACGAGAGACGAGACGAAAAGACCCAAAATTCACAATGCAACAGCGAGCGGGCGATCGCTCTTTCGTCATGAGAGGTTAAGCAGATGCAGGAGAGTCTCTCAGAGAGACCTTACGACAGTACTCGCCGCCCGATTGAAGTGCTCCACGCTGTGGATAGTCGTGGCCTGACAGACACTGTACAAATGCCAGCGGCTCTTCCTCCTAGCGAAAGTTTTTTCCCGTTCCGTTCAACTGCAACGAGCTCGTGGCAATGACTTGTGGTGATGAACCTCACATGAAGCTGGCTGAATAGATCAGGCACGGCTGCAATGGACAGACTTCATTAGTAATACATGTACTGTAGCTCCGAGAATGAGGTTTACCACACCTCCCTGGAATTTCGGTGCCGAAAGCAAGTCGTGCCTTCTGCCAAGAGGACCAGCTTCGGTCCCACGTGCAGATGAGCCTTTGCGAGATGCGGACACATGACGAAATTGGGCTTGCGATGGATGGGCCGAGGGCGGACCACCCGCGGCAAGGTGTGGTTGATCGCTCTGCCGGTTGAATTTTCGTCCGCAGACGACGCCGATGAACGCCTCATTGAATAGAGAGCTCGCATGAATTCATCACGGTGCCATCATCACAACGTCTATTAAAGCAAATGGGTCGAGTACAGTATCTCTTGAAGGGGTTCTCTTTGTTGCATTTGAACACAAGCACCATCTCAATGAGAGGACAAGAGATGCTGCTGCGCTGGACGAGAACTTGAACAAGCTCGAGCCATTTATATTATTAAAATTAGTAAATATTAAACTGTAATAATATTAATACATTTCTCATTAAATGTATCGGTGATGCATTTTGTTTATGGATACTGTACAATGTCGCGTCCCATACAACTTTTCCATTCGCACTTGCAGGAGATCGCAAAAGTAGTCGCGCAAAGTTTGCGAGACACCCCTCAAGGAACGCTAACCGTGAAATTTTGGCTCGTGGGCCAAGCTAGTCGTAGGTCGCAAGCAGGATTTCCGCCATACCCCACCGCACGCAAGCTCATCGTGCTGTAGCGGCCTCACCTACCGTTATCTTTCTGGTTTGTAAAAAAAATGTTGTTGTCGTTTTCAATCACACCACCGAAAAAACTCAAGTCCAGTTGTCTGCGACTATAATAAGGTTGAGCGGTTCCCTAATGAGGACAGGTCTTGTGCTCGGTCTGGATGGCGCCGGCAAGACGCTTCTGCTCCGACAACTCATGGCGCAGGTCGTGCGGAAGCAGAAAACTGTGATGGAGCGAATTGTGGCTTTCGCGTCGAACCCCTGCTATAGCTGTAGCAACAGCTCTGACAAAGACGTGGAATACAAGGACGGAGACTTGGTCGTTGACCAAAACACACAACCGAGCGTGGGCGTTGAGCACTGGTCGCTGCCACTTGATGGAGGAAAGGCTTGCACACTGAGAGAAGTCGGCGGACAACTACTGCCCATGTGGCCGTCGTACTTCGCGTCCTGCCACTTTTGGCTCTTCCTAGTCGACGCCAGCAACGCCACTCAGTTAGCAGCCGCAGCGATCGAGTTCTTTTCCATCCATAGTGTAGACGAGATGAAATACAAGCCCAAGTTATTGGTGATCAACCAGATCGATGCCAGCTTCGTGATCGACGACACCGTTCTACAGACGTATCTGTGTCTCGACCGCCTTCTGGCTGAGCCGGACAGTGGCCCGGTACAGATCATCAAGACCAGTGCTCTCACGGGTGAAAACGTGGCGCAGATCCTCAAATGGCTTAGTCAAGCTGCCAGTAGTGGTCTCTTCTCAGGCAGCAATCCGAGCATTGGCCTGTCCGGACTCAGTGGGTTTAGCGGGCGTTACCGGACTCTAGGACGGCAGAACTCGGCTAGCGATATGCGAGTTCATCCCGTAGTGGAGTAGTCAAAAGAACATACTTTACTATTTAAATGGGTGCGTTCTGCAATGAGGTCAGTTTTCATTAGTTCCGCTCGCCCTCGTGGCAGTAAGGATACTCATCAACTAGCGTGGTGTTCGAGGTCGTGGCCGTTTCGGCGGCCCGGAACAGACGGAAGTGCTGCAAGTCACGACTAATGTTGCCGATCGCGATGAGAGCACAGTAGATGCCGAGCACAATGCTGCTGATGATCGTCAAGTGGCACACCAAGCGATCACATTTGCCTCGGAGCGTGTGCGTAGCGATCGGGTGTACGCGGAGGTAGCACAAGCAGGGCATGATCATACACGAGACGGTGACGGCTGTGGCCCCGATCAAACTCAAGATATCTGTGAAAGAAGACTGAAACATGATGGCGAGGAAGGCCTGCGACCACACCGTGATCGTTCGAATCAGTCCACTGCACAACCGGTCGGACGCTGTGTAGGCGTCGCCAGCGTATGCGTGGTCGCCATTATCGCTTGGCGGTGGTGACGTCGCTTGGAAGTACGGCGTGCTGTTGCCATACAAAAAACCTTCATCTTCGGGTATCGTCTTGGGTGGCGCAAGCGTGCTGACAGCTCCTGTGTTGGCGAGAATCGGCTGGCTCTGTTTCGACGTAGCGGCTTTGGCGGCGCGTAGGCTTAGCGTTTGCTGAAGCACCTCGTGGTCTGCGTCTTTGCCGAGGATGTAGCGCTCCATGTCGTACAGCGTGGGGTTGAGTAGCAATGGAAATGCGATAGTAACGTGGGCCAGCATTAACGCGGAGGCAGCCTTCCGTGCTGAGTTTGCTTGGGGTATCTGGTCCAACAGAGTCGTGGGTGCGGTGCAACCAAACTGGTAGTAGGTCACGACCCCGATGAGCATGTAGATGGACGTGATGAAGAGCAGAGTGAGCGACACTAAGTTAGCTAACCGAGCTGGATCCGTGTGTTGTCGCTGGATGGGCGGAATCATAATGGCGGTGCCCGTGGCGAACATTATGGTGCCGAACGTCTGAATGGCGTTGTCAGTCTGAATCTGCGTCTCTCGTGGCGACGGCTGGATGTTTTGGAGACTATAGCCGATACAAATGACGTCGGCCAGCACAGCCACGAGGCCGCCCATGTAGGCTAATGGAGCGGCAGCTTTCAGAGTCGGGATCAAGATCACGGGCATCACACCGAGGCTCATGACAAGGATCCAGTGCGTGGGGCTCCATTGTTCCCCCGCGACGGTACCGTCAAAAATACACGGCAACAAAGTGGTACCGCCGAGAATGAAGAAGGCAATGGGGCTCAGAAAACACGCGCCCCACTCGGACAGCAGTACGACGCGGCGTCCGGTTTCTCCAAAGGCGAAATAGCCAAGATCGCTGAAGGTTCGCACGTTCACTGGCGCCACCATCAGAGACTTGCTAATCGCGACACTGCAGCGACAAAATACAATTGTACGGGTCAGTAGAGCAGAAATTCAAGTACCTCTTTTGATTGCCATTTTTTCTTAACCTTGCGTGGAGGTTGCAGGCCGAGATGAAGTAAACGCCCATAGCGGCCAGCACGGGACCTGCGGCCGCAAAGATGGAGCCAAAGCTCATGGATCCAACACCAAACGTGGCGCAGAACAGCAGCGCCACGCACAGTACATCATCGCTCCCCGACATCGTCCGATGCTTGAACGACAGAAATCGAAGATCGTGACCTTTCAGGATTAACCCCTTAGTTCCCGGCCTCAAATATGAGGGTATATTTTGACCTCGTCCCATATACAGATATAAAGGAATTTGTATGGGGTTTCAATTAAGTCCGGATATCTTGGCGCGGGTTCGGGGTGGTAACAACGACTTGCCAGTGTGTATAGTACGGATTCTCCAACATAAAGGAGGGTTTATGTAGTACATTGAGACGATCATATACACCGACGGACAGAATGCAACTGCCGACAAAACTAACTGCCAGTCAGTGTAAAAAGGGCGTGCAAGATAGAAGAGATGCGCAAATCCTATTTTATCAACCAATCGAATCACTCAAAATCCTGATTTTATTCGCCGATCCAGCCGTTATTTCTGTGCCAGCCACTTTGTAAGATGGAGGAAACCAGCCGTAATTTCTGTGCCAGTCACTTTGTAAGATGGAGGAAACCGTCGAGCCCGAGCCACCCACAGAGCCTCCATCAGCGCTGCAAGGCGCAGAGGAGGCTGCCATCGCGAGCCTTGTTGACGAGGTCTTTTCCCAGCCAGCGCAACGTAGAATGCACTACTCAATGAAGCAGAAACGACACGCTCTCCTAGCAACAGAAGGTCTTAGTGAGCGTGAAGCTGCACGCTCGCAAAAAATACCGCGGTGGACGCTCAATGGCTGGAGAAAGAACAAAGAGGACATATTTGCGTTCAGAGGCAGCGAGAAGACGCTTTCTCGTGCGCCTGGGCGTCCCGAGATGGTCCCGTTCAAGGTGGAGCTGATCACCTTCATGAAGGACACTCGTCGTGAGAGTCGGCCCCTCACCGCCTCCATCATGGCCTCTTACATTCGTGACGAGCACCCGGCGTGGCTACAGGGCTGCACTGAAGGAAAGAAGGACACGTTCACAGCATATGAATCGCTACTAAAGCTGATGCGCCGCTTTGCCTACCGGCACGGCTTCGTGCAACGCACTCCGCACGGTTTAAAGGTAACCCATACATTGTAATATTACCTCTAGTTAACTGATATCTAACTGATAATTTATGCTGCTATGTATTCCTTCTTTCTATAGGAAAAACTCGAAGACCTAGAAGCTGTTCAAAAAGCGTTTGCTTGCGTTTTTGAGGCCAAGTATAGCGGATATAATGCAAGCGAGGTATTTAACTGCGACGAGACTGACGTTTACTTTGACGCGCCACCAGGCAAGATTTTGTCGGAAAGGGGCCAATCGTCGGCAATAACCGCCCAGCAGAAGCATTCTGCCAGATTGACCGCTGTGTGCACAATTCGCGGTGACGGCGTTAAGCTCCCCCTACTTTTCATAGTACGCGGGGAGCAAAACGGCATCATCGAGAAGGAAGAGGTGCCAACTTATCCTGAAGGTACGCTGTATTATTTTGATCTTTCTGAATAACTACATGTATAACTGACTTGCTGTATCATTACAGGCCATATTTACACTGTTCAGAGCAAGGCCTGGATGGACGCACGGGTGTGGAAGTTCTACTTGCGCTCCCTACTGCAGAAACATATCGCAAGCCATTCTCTGCTGCTTGTTGATAACTTGGAGTGCCATGTTTCTGGTGAATCTGAGGCGATTATCTCGGAGGAGCTCATGGCAGTGCTCCAGCCACTGCCAAAAAACTCTACTTCCGTGTGCCAACCTTTAGATGTAGGCATCATGGGGCCTCTGAAGGCGAAGCTGAAGGCTTTGTGGCTGACCGAAAAGGCTACCGCTACGACGGCAAAGGAGAAACGCATAGCGACGATCAAGCGTGTAATTGCGGCATGGGAATCTATCGAGGCCAACACAGTGACGAAAGCGTTCAACAAGGCACTCGACACGAACTATAAAAACACAGTTGCCTCCTCGTAATTCATTGCTTTTGCAATATAAAAATACAGCTGCCTCCTCGTAATTCATTGCTTTTGCAAATCCTTAAAATATTGAAGACCTTTGCTTCCTAGCAGCTGTTTCTACAAAGTGAGGTGGCATTTGCATTCTGTCCGTCAGTGTACAACTATGCTGTATAAATAAACATAAGATATGTACTGTTTATTGATTAGCCTATCTTTGTGCTGTTGCATACGTCCAGCAGCGGTGAGTTCATTTAATATAGCCAATAACAAGAAAGATCAAGTGCCGTATCAATTGATTGCTCCTTGCATAGACATGTACGACCAGACGGCGCAACCACTACGCCTCCTCCTCCACCGCTTCATCATCTTCTTCGCTCGACTCCCCAGCACCAGCACCAGCACTTGCTCCGCTCTCGCCTACCTGCTGTCTGCGTCTCCGGTTCTTGCCTGGCCGCGACGCTGGCGGTCGTTCACGTGTCCTGTGCTCTTGCAGTAGGTCGCGCGGGATGTCGTTGCCGTTGTTCCAATCAGCATGCCAAATGCTGAAGCACGTACTGACCCTGTCTTCACGCGGAACGTTGCATAGGTATTTACTAAATCAAAACGAGTTAGCCAAAGCTTACGGTAAGGGTACCAAGCGAGCTACGCACCGTTTGTTCCCGTTCGAGCACTCCGGGCAGAAGTATTTCGTAAACTTGCGAGGCTTGACCTTGTAGATGGCACAGACTTTGCATGATCGGTGGCGTCGCTTCACACCCTGCTCGCAATCGACAGTATCTGGGTTTTCTTCTAAACAATGTCCGTCGATAGCTGACGATGCGCTTCCTTGTAGCTGTGTTGAATCTGCTCTTGCCGGCGAAGGGGCAGTTCTATCTTGCGCAGATGTCGCTTGCTGTTCCAATACAGTCAAAGCCCACCATAAGTTAGTTGTTATGTTGGAAGGCTGCTGAAGCAGATGAGGTTATGTTGACTGGTCAACATTTGACTTACCTCAATCTCGTCAAACGCTTCGATTGAATCTACTGCCAGTAGCTGCTCCATCAATTCCTCAAAAAACGAGAAGTGTTTTGGCGGGCGCCTGTTGTTTACCTTTCGATAGTGTCGATGAACGATAAACGCGTTCACGAGCGCCATATCCAGAAGCCCCAGAAACAGAGTCTTGTAGTACTTGCGTGTTTTGTAGCAAAGTTGCACGCTGTAACGTTGCAACCGGAGTTGATCATGGACGTCGACTCCACCCATCCAGCGGTGGTAGTCGCGAACAAGCTCTGGAGCCGGCACCGGCGTCATTTCTCCGTGGATGCGTCTCACTAGAATACAAATACAATTAGTGCTAACACCCAAATGGGAACCCAATGCATGTAGTACGTACTCACGGTGCCGGTTTGGCGGCTGCCCCCACTTGAAAGCAGGTGCACCGGGTTACGGTCCATCCACATGGCAGCAGTTAGTTGCGGAAACATCTTGTTTTGAGCCAGCTTGATGGTACCTTGCGGAGGCACCAGTACCTCGCGCCTGTTAACCTTTTTTTCTTTTTCGTAGTGATCACTCCAGCAGCGTAACCTGATCTATCCGTCTGTATCGTCCCCGTTAGATACATCCGATAATGAAGCAGCTCCAGCGCCAGCTTGACCGACGTGTAGAAACGGTCGGTGACGACTAACCTCCATGGAGACGTCGGTGACGGAGATAAGAGAGCTTTCATGTTTCGAAGTACAGCCGCTTCTCCAGTGATGTTATCCTTTAGAACAGGAGTACGTAGATGTGGCTTCGCCCCGCAATAAATCTCAATTCTAGCAGGCAAACACATCAACAGAGACGATTATGTTAATATTATGTTGTATCAACAGATGGCGCAGGATTCTTATGTTGGACAAGTCAACATAAGTACTTGGGCCAAAAAAAAGGCAAGCCGAAGCTTGCCTCAAGTTACCTCATGCAGTACGCGGTCTTGGCACACGCAGCAACAAACACCTTCGTCCCCCACTTGTGGGGCTTGTCCTTGTTGAAGATCCTCATGGGATTGTATCGCGAGCGCGAAGGCAGTGTTGCTTCATCGAAGCTGATGACTGGGGGAGCTCTGTATCCACGAGCGAATGTTCGCTGTAGCACATCGAGCACCGGTCGAATCTTCCACGCTCGGTCCGTACGGGCTTGTGGCGACTTGTTGCTCGAAAAGTGTAGATATCCCATGATATGAAAAAAAACGATTCTTTCCCATCACGAGACTGAAGCGGTTTGACGGTAGAACTCCAACTTTCTTCATTGACCAATGCGCTGCAATGCCTTTCCGGATGGGGACCAACATACGTGCAATCAGCAATGCCATAACTTGAAGGTCCTCGTAAGTTTGTATTTCTTCAACTGCTGACAACCGCCGTCTGATCTCAGCAAGATCTTCTGCTTCGCCACCACTACGCTGTTGCTGTCTGCGAATTGAGCGGGCCCTCGTAGGGATTGACTGAGTATGATAGCGGTTGCTTTCGACAGCAATTTGGGACCAAATCTTCGGCGGCAGGAAAAAGAAGAGCAATGCCAGCGGATCGTCCCCAAGGCGTAGCACGCTGTCACTTGGTCCGTATGGCCCATCATACAACCCAGCATACGTTAAGTCAGGTCCAAATTTAGTCGCGTCTAGATACAACACACAAGGACAAAAACTATGTTAGCCTTTATGTTAACTCAGAGACAAAATGAAATGATTATGTTGGATTCGGCCAACATAACGTACCATACTCCCAGCCATCGGTACGCATTGCAGTGATCAGTGGTGCGTTCTTCGCTGCGGATAACCACGCCGTGTTTGGAAGCTCCTCGATGTCGTGGTCCGAATCTTCATCTGTCAGCTCTCCAATGTCCCAGTCACCGTCCCAACTATCGTCATCAGCATCCTCTTCGTCTTCAGGTTCCTCACGAAGCTCTGGGTCCTCGTCGGAGTTGAGCCCGGTGCATTCGTCAGCTCCTTCGTCCATAAAGTTAGGGTCTGTGTCAAGAACACACGCAGGTACACTGTGCACAACGTCTGCTTCGTAAACACTCTCGTCTTCGTCACCTTGCATTCTCTGTTCACCATACATCACGTACGTTGGATATTATGTTAGACATGTTGTCAGCCACAATC